GAGCTCCCCGCCCCCGCAAGGAGTCCTCTCTATTGTTGGTACCCGGGGAGGACCACGAGCCTTCATGGAGCACCTGCCGTGAGCCAGGCGCTGTGCCCTCCTGGTGTGTCCTAGGCGTGCACCTCGCGCGCTTTCTCAGCCCGTGTGTTTGTCGGGGCCAAACGCGCCTCGGCTTTGTCCTCTCAGGGCAAACAGCCGGGGCTGTGAGGGCTTCTTTCCCTTTAGTTATTTATTTTTTTCTCCAAATGGAAAAATCAATCATCGCGTGAGCCCGGCACTTAGAAGCGCGATGTGGCTGTGGTCCCTCGGCCTGCAGCGGACAGACAGCCCTCCGCGGGGCCGGCCTCCAGGCCCAGCCCATCTTGGGCCCGGGCTGGTCAGCAGGTTTCCTGAAACACCTGACGGCGCCCAGCGGGTGGAACAGGTCGGGAAGCCAGCTCCCCGCGGGAGGCTGGGGGAAGTGTTCCTGCTGCTGAAAATAGTCCTGGAGCTGGGCCCAGGAGCCGAGGGACAGGATGTGCGTGCGGTCCCCCTGGGGGGCTCTGGGCTGTGGGTCACGGGGAGTCGGTTCCCAGCTCCGGAGTCTGGGGCTGTGGGGTCTCTGCTGTATTTGCCCCAGCGCCTGGCAGCTGGCCGGCTGCGGCGGAGGCCCGAGCTGGAGGCTGGCCATCTCGGAAGGCGGCCGAAGGCCTGTGTGCCCTGGTGGCCTCGGGCCCTGGAGGCAGATGGCGATGTGGATGTGAAGGCTGCTGACAGGAGCTGTTTTCTGAACTGACCAGGAAGGGGGGTCCCCCCACTGCAGGAAAGGCCGGGGGGAAGGCAAGCAGCCTCATGGCTCCCGCGCATCCGAACAAAGGGGTGTTGGGTTCCGGAGGGGCCCCCACACCCACAGCCTCACCCCCAAGCTGGCCGCCCCCGGCCAGGCTCCCTCCTGGGTTAGATGTTACCCCCGGGAAGCCTAGCCCCTCTGCCCGCCCCCGGGAGCCTGGCCCTCGGTTGGGAAAGGGAGCTGAGAGCCCAGCCTTCAAACCTCTCCTGTTTCCTTGCAGGCAAGAGACCAGTGTCACCGTACAGTGGGTACAACGGGCAGCTGCTGACCAGTGTGTACCAGCCCACCGAGATGGCCCTGATGCACAAAGGCCCGGTGAGTGGGGTCCCCGAGTCCCCAGGACCCTGCGGAAAGCCACGGAGCCAGGCCTCTGTGGGCGGGCAGAGGGCCTTGCGGCCATGTGGGGCGGGTGAGGTGCAGGGGGTGGGGAGAAGGCAGGTGTCTCTCTCGGTGCCTCAGCCTCAGGGAACCCAGAGCCCCGGCTCCTGGTGCCTTTTCCTGGAGTCAGTGCATCCACCGCCTTCAGTTTTATTGCGATGGCACCTGCCCGGCCTGTGGCGTCGGGGTGTCACACACTGAACAGAGGGCCTCGGCCAGCGGGGGTCATGCTTGGTGACTCCAGGGGACAGGGACCAAGCCTGGGTAGGTGTTTACACTCCCACCACAGCTGTCTCGGGGAGGCCCCTCCCCCGCCGCAGGCAGCCGCTCTCAGCCTCACACCTCCCCTGGGTCCTGGAAACCAGATGCTCCCTGAGCCCTGGGAGGGGGTGGGAACAGATTCACTGGCTCCATATATGTTCCTGCTCCCGGCTGGCAGCCGCGGGAGAGGTCGGCGAGCCGCCTTGGCAGGAGGCTGGGAACAGGAAGGAGGGAGGTCAGCAGGGTGGCGTTCTCACCCCTCCCTCTGGGAGCCTGGGTGAAGCCAGCTCCGAAACTCCCAACCCAGCCCTTTGGTCTCCCTCCGCCTGACCCTGATGACATCCCTCCTTCCTGCGGCATCACCAGCACCTGGGATCTTGCTAAAAATGCAATTGGGTGGGGCCAGTGCTGTGGTGCATCCAGTGGTTAGCATCTCCTCAGTGACATCATCCTGAGGCATGATGGGAGTAGCCACCTGTAGAAATCTGCAAACCCTACTCGTCAGGGCTTCCTCCCTTCCCGCCCAACCCCCGTTGTTAAACATTTGCCGGCCACGCACCCACCACCAGGTGTGGGTGAGGTTTAAACAGCCCAGGTGATTCTGATGCGCACCCGGGTTTGAGAACGCCCACGGGGATGTTCCAGGAGCTCCCAGGGCAGTGGTCGGCAAACTGCGGCCCCTTGAGTGTGGCTCTTCCACAAAATACCACGTGCGGGCGCGCACGTGCAGTGCGATTGAAACTTAGTGGCTACACTCAAGGGGCCAAACAGCCACAGGTGGCTCGCGAGCCGCAGTTTGCCAACCACTATACTAGGGGATGGGAAGCTGGAGACCGCCAAGTGGGCAACTTGGGGCCCTGGAGCTGCCCGGAGCTGGGGCACCCAGGACCCTCTGCACCCTCAGCCAAGGACAGGACCGCTGTAGCTCGAACCAGGTTCCAGGCAGCTAATTTGGGTCTGAGGTCTCCAAAACTTAAAATACTCACACCCAAAAGCATTTGGGATTTAAGCCTCCAATCAGGCAGGCCAGCCAGACTTCTAGAGGAGAAATACGTGGGCACGGCCAGGGCCTGGCACACCAGCAGCCATAATGCTGTTGGGGGTTGGAGGGCATATGGGGGGACTCGGGTAAGCGTCTTGGAGGACGGAAGGCTGGGAGCTCCAGACAGGTGACAGCCACCCAGGTGTTCACCCTCCACTGGGTCAAGGTCTGAGGGGCAGCCGAGCGGAGCCCCGGGAGCACCCTGGGGGCCGCCTTCCCAGGCCCAGAGGCCGGGCCCTCTGCAGCGTGAGATAAGGGGCTGGAGGTCAGAGGTCGGCCGCTGGGGCCTGGCTCAGGGTGGGAAGGGAGCCGGCAGGCCCGCCTGCAGGAAGCCACGTGTTTGTGCATCTGCGCTGGCGGAGCCTGGCTGAGACTGCCTGCTCTTCCTTCCAGGCCGAGGGACCCTACGACGTCATCCTCCCACGGGCCACCGCCAACAGCCAGGTGATGGGCAGTGCCAACTCCACCCTGCGGGCTGAAGACATGTACGCGGCGCAGAGCCACCAGGCAGCCACGGCCCCGAAAGACGACAAGAACTCTCAGGTCTTTAGAAACCCCTACGTGTGGGACTGATTCGGCGTCAGGAGGCGGCGGGCCGATGCGGGGAGGGCCCTGGGGACCTGGCCTGGGCCATGGACAGCCTGGGGGCCCCGGGCCCTCCTGCTCCCCGTGCCCCTCGATGGCTCAGGGCAGCTTGTGCCTCAGCCGTGAGCCCTGCCTGGTGGCCAGGGTTTCGTGGTGTCCCAGGTGCCCCTGCCCACTCCTCAGTGTTTGTGGAGTTGAGGAGCCACCGCCGGCTTCATGCCAGGGTCCTCTCCAGGGGTCACGCTCCAGCCAAATAGTGTTCTTGGGGGGTGGCCTTGCAGCACCTGCATTCTCTGAGTCTTTGGAGAGATTCCTGCAACCTCGAGAGATTTCACAGGCTCTGCCCCGGGCCTTGCTCCTCCGTGAGGAACAAGGTGCCTAATAAACACGTTCTTTCTGCTTTGTTAACGCTTCCTCTGGGAATGTCGTTTCTGACCCGGCTCTGGGTTCCCGACAAACCGCTCCTCCTCGGCCCACGGGTGGCTCCTTCCACCTCCTCCCTCCAGACCCAGCTCACGTGACAGCTGCCCTTGTCTGTGCGGTGAGGTAGCTGACACCTGCACACAGGGAAGGGTCCGTCCGCTGAGCCTGTGTCCCTGCCGTGTGGGCTCACAGTGAACTGGGCCAGGTCCTGTCTGGGGGCTCGTCCATCATCTGAGCTCATCTGGAATCGGACAGTTTTCCTCCGGGTCCCCCTCCACTGGCCGTACGTGGGGACCGAGCCGGGAGGTGGCCCACCAGCAGGCACCCTGCAGAGGGTGCTTGTAAGGGAGGGCATGCCAGGGAAGACGGGCTACCCTCAGCCCCTCAGTGGGGACGGGGGTCCAGATCTTTAGGGCACAGGTGGAGCCTCACTCTGTGCTCTGAGGCCGCTTGCCCAGGTGGGTTCACAAAGGTGGGAAGGATGGGGCCACGCTCTGGTCGGTTTCACTCCTGGGCAGGGATTGTTCAAGCGCCAGTTTGCTCAGGCCCCTACGGTGAAGCCCTCCGCACCAGCTCCCTGGCACTCCTGTGGCTGCCCCCGGAGGTGGGCAGGGCGTTCTCCTTTCCAGAGTCCAAATCCCAGAGCTGTTCCCTTTTTAGGGTTCTACAGGGCCGTAGGGGAAAGTTGGGGGTTAGCTCTCCTGCCTTCTACTTGAGGTCAGCAAACTGACCCCAGGGAGCCTGCACAGCCTCCCCAGGAC